CGCTATACAACATTTTGCTTGATTATGTGAATCATCTGAAACTTTTAGAAAGCAAAAGCCTATATAACTGTAATGGGACAAGAGCTTTTTCTAAACATATCTTTCTCTTGTCTTCATTTTTGTAGAGGCATGATGGCCAGTTCACCATCATCCAGCTGGTTGGCTTGCTGCGCGGCATTGCGGCAGGTATGAGCTACCTGTCTGACCTAGGATACATCCATCGGGACCTAGCCGCCCGCAACATACTGGTCAACAGCAACCTGGTGTGTAAGGTATCAGACTTTGGCCTGTCCAGGGTTCTGGAGGATGACCCAGAAGCTGCATACACCACCAGTGTGAGTTTTCACATTGAGGCAAGCACTAATGCAACAATACACACACAAACACATGAGTAAACACATAAAAAACCTCAAAAAATGGCTGTGATTAAAAATGTAAAGTGCAACAATAAAACAGCTAATATTTCATAACAATCAGCTCTTGTGGAAATGAAATAATCCTAAATCAGCTGGTTCCCTTTAAGAGAACCAGAAGCTTGTTTATCTTTACTTCCTGATAGTAAAGAATTACAATAGTCCAGCCTTGAAGTAACAAATGCATGGACTAGTTTCTCAGCATCACCCATGGACAGGAGATTGGATTTAAATTACATAAATATTTTTGTAAAGTGCGCATCACCATATCCACAGTGAAACATGTTACTGGTATTATGTTTTGTGCATGCTTTCATGCTTTTCTTTGGTTAGGACAAGGAAGCTCCGCAGAACTGATGGAAGATCGATTAATCTTATTGATAAGATATTAACAAATTCAAAGGACACAAATGATTTTACAAGGCTCTCTATATGAGTCCTTTCATTGTACACAACTTGTTATCTTCTACTGTATCCTGGACAAAGATGTCCAAACCACCTAATCTGGCTCCTCTCAATGAGGAGAAGAAGCTCTAATCTCTCCTGGAGTGTCCAGCCGCCCTGTGGAAAAAGCAAATTTCAGTGGCTTGTATCTGGGACCTTGATTTTTTTTTTTTAATCATGTTCCAGGTCCCTAAGGCACAAGCCACCTTTTTTTTTCATTCAAGAATTATGGCCTCAGAATTCCCAAACCAGAGCCACGCTGGCCCATGGCTGTTCCTGAAAATCCTGTCCATAAAAATTGTGAACAGGGCAGCTCTGTCACAGTCTAAGGCTACGTTCACACTGCAGCCTGAAGTG